GAAACTTTTTCAGTTCTGGGAAGATACCAAGGAGGAAATACACACACACCAGGTATGTCTGTTTATCCAGATGAACCTGTTTCATTATCAGTAATCCACAGAAAGGTCAAAAGGATAAATGAAAAATTGTAACTTTCCTTTGTTTTTTAATTTGTCAACTATTAGTCAGTCTTGAAAAACACCCATTAGACAGATAGCAATAATGATCTGTTAATGATCAGGATAAAAGTGGATGCTGTTATTATGTAACCTAGGAAAGCTATTTCCAGGCAGTTAGGGCTTGAAAAAAAACTTGTAATGAGAGACCCAGTCAAAGCTGATTCATTTTCACCCGGCATTTATTAGCTCAATGGCCAAGTTGAACTTTTAATACAAAGTTCAGTGATTTTTGTTTTCACCTGTAAGAAGCAGTATGATCTCTCTGGACCAGACCAAATGGATGTCATATGCATATCCAGAGCTGAATGAATTCATATTTCTAAGATGTAAAGACTTTTCTTCACATTTTACATTGCAGTCATGTAGGTGATGTTTTCTATTTACCTTCAGTTTCACTCAGTTTAAATGTGAAGCTCCAATGTGTATTATAGACCATTACATATAGGCCTTTACCAGTATTTGTTCACTGTACCTCCCCTCTCTGCAGCCAATCAATAACAGCTCTTCATCCGGCTCTAATGGCTTTATTGCAGGTATTAGCATGTGAGAAATTGCCTGGCGGTGAAATGGAGGGAGCCGGCGTCAACATCTTTGTCACTGTTCAGAAGATCTACTACCCTTCACTTTGCATCATGGGTATTCCAGGTTCGTAGCTTATTTAATCATTAGCTTTCATGTCTGAAAAGGTGTTGTCTGGGATCATGTGTCAAAACACAAAAATAATTTGTACGTTAATAATTTATTCATGTGATGTTATTACATCACTTCTACTCTCAGATAACTCCCATGCACACGATATGACTCACTGACCTCAGAGCAATCGGGCCCAAACTATTTATTATTAACTTACTAACATGGCTGCAGGCCTTTTATAAAGACATGGCAGAAACCTGGGAGATACATTTACTTTCAAAACCAGATTCAGATTAAAAAACCTGGCATCTGTCTTGAGTAGAGCTTCATCTAATGACATAGCTTTGTGTAAAAAGTCCACTTTCAGTTTGTCCTGTCCTTATGGTGATAAGTTGAACAACCTAGTACCTTATTTCCCACATTTAACAGCACTTGCCTAGTTTCTTGCTTAGCAGGGAGAAACATTTTAACCAATCTCAAAATTTTCATTTATTTATACATTTATATTATTTAGTGAGAGCTAAAATGGTGTATTTGCTTTAAGCAACATTGTTGTTAGTAACTATGATGCACCACGATGATAAATCAGTGTCATTTGATTGTTTACCTCTCAACACTTGAGTCCGTTGAAGTCATTTTCTGTTGTGAAAATATTTTTTCCACTCTCACCTGCAAATGTAAAAAGTATATGTGGCCAAGCCCACAACAATGTGAGAAATTATACCTGCAGCAGCTGTTAGTCCTACTGCAGCCACAATAGTGCAGTAAACTTCAAGATGAATGTAGATAAAACATCACATATTTTATAGGACAGTTTATTGGCATCTCCTCCATGTTTGCTGTTGTTGTAGTGTTGCACATATAGTGTCCTCGTTGTTGTATATTCTTCTACATTACCAGGGACTGTTAGACTGGAGTGAACAGCTTGTTGTGCCCATTATCATACGTCAGCATTACCCCTTTATCTCCCTTGGTCTTTAGACTGCAACGATCTGCAGGAACATTTTATGTTCTTATGTTTCTTAAAATATGTTCTCTTCTTATTTGAATTACATTTAATCATGCTTTTATTTATATCTATAGTGTATATAAGGCACTTTGAGTTTCTTTTATGAAAGGTGCTATACAAATAAAGTTTACATATTTATTATTATTATTATTATTATTAAAACCTTGAGAGAAGAAATACGTTTTGGACACTATCTGCCCAACGCCACCAATCAGACCAGACTAAAGGTAAATCAGATTAGACTCCTTGATTGACTTGACTTAGGTTGGACAGTTTGTCAGCGGGCCACAATAAATGCAAATGATTCCTGGAAATATCTTAATGTCTGCAGGATGTTTAAGAAAGCAGTTGTTTGTGAACGCAACATTTTTTGCTACTGTTGCCTCCGAGTAACTATGATGCACCACGATGATAAATCAGTGTAATTTGATTGTTTACCTCTGAACACTTGAGTCTGTTGAAGTAATTTTCTGTTGCGAAAATATAGTTTCCACAGAAAAAGCGTTCTCTCTCCTCCTCCCCACTATCTCTCTCTCTTCTCTCCCCTCTTTTCCACCCATCTCTCCTCTCCTCCCCTTTTTCTTTGCTCACCCCAACCGGTCGAGGCAGATGAACTCCCACATTGAGCCTGGTTCTAGAGGTTTCTCCCTGTTAATGAAGGATTTTCTCTCCATAGACAAAGTGCTGCTCATTGTGGGAACTGTTGGGTTCCTCTATATTAATAAGATTTTAAGGTCTTGACTTTCTATGTGAAGTGCCTTGAGATAATTTATATTGTGATTTGGCGCTATACAAATAAAATTGAATTGAATTGAATTGAAAGTGGTCAGCAAAAAGCGATAATCAATGATAATTGAGTCATTAACAACTTCATGCAGTACCAGACAAATGATTTATCTAAACTTCTTTATACTTGTCTTTTCCTTCCAGCCAACCTCTTCACATTCTATATGATTTGCTTCCGTAAATGCGGGATGTCCAACACAGCAACCATTTACCTGAGCTGTCTGGCCATTGTGGACACCTTCTACCTGGTGTGGGTGATCCTTCTTGACTTGACCCTCACCTTTTGGCTGCTGCAGCCCTTCTGGCATTCCCAACCCTGGTGTGGCATCCTGGGATTCCTGCAGTATGGATCCCTGTACAGCTCCTCCTGGATAGTGGTGACTTTCACCATCGAGCGTTACCTTGTCCTCCGCAGCACAGTAGCCAAGCAGCACTTCTCCCAGGCCTGGGTCACTAAACTGACCTGTATTGCTGTTGTCCTGGTTTCACATCTTGTCTCTGTGCCACTGGGCTGGATCAATAATGTTACACCTGTTTCCCTTCTTGTGGACGGGGAGAATGTGACACTGCCCAGGTGTCGTTACCGTGATGAGGCCTACACTACTGTTATAGTGTGGATAACCACCTTCCTCTCTGGAGGAATCCCCATTGTCTTGGTCATCATCTTCAACTACCTCATAGGATATCATCTATGCCGTGCCAGCAACCTCTTCACCAAGGAGGAGCGCCGCATCATGCGTGGGAGGAGCACCAGGGGCATGTTGAGGAGGACCATTCTGTTGCTGGGCACTGTTTCTGTGACCTTTGTTGTCCTCAGCCTTCCTCGTTTTGTCACATACTGCATCCTTAGAACCAGGTACAACAACGAGAACTTTGACAGGGATGACTACAGCATCCCAATCAATGTGGCTGGAGACTTAGCCAACATGCTGCAGAACCTTAACTCCACCACCAACTTCCTGCTCTACTGTATGGTCAGCCGGCGCTTTCGACGGGAGCTGGTCCAGGTGGTGACGTGTAAGGCAAAGGCACGTGAGCTGGGCTCTGTTCTCGGCCATACTACCATGAGAGTTTTCTCAGTTATGGATCATAAGGCCTCACAATCCAGCAACCCTGTGATTGTAAAGTTAAACAATCTGAAACAGACAGAGTAGAAAGCAACCAGAAGAAAAGACAAATATCATAATGCGTACAATTGTTGGAACCTAAAAGTTTAGTCTTGACCTTGGACATGTAATTTTGCATACAAACAGAAAATGGAATCACGGTAAATGGATTTCCTTTATATAGAGCTTTTCTAGTCACAAAGAACTCCACTGTATATTTACACCGAGGCCAAGGACAACTGGACACAAGCCACACCAAAAGATGTGGAGAAAACAAATTACTTGACAATTGTTTTCTCAAGTTATCTCATTATTGTTTCTCGAGATAGCAGTGTTGGTCAGTCAACCCCAAGACTTAAATATCTGAAGAACTATTCGGTGGATTGCCATGAAATTTTAGTCTCCAAAGAATGAAGCCTTAAGACTTTGGCGACTCTCTAATCTTTCATCTAGCATTTCTAGGTTCAGGTGGTTGTTCAACATTTTTGGTTTTGCGATAACTGCTCTAAGAATCTTGCCTCACACAGAATACATTTTCAGTATCTTTAGCAATCCCTTAACATTTCATCTTTCATCATCATCACCAGATTAAAAAGTGTAATTTTTCTTTGTGAGTTTATGACCTTCCCCTCAAGCTGAGCTGTAGTGTATGTTTTAATGCTGGTTAATGATTGTATGCACTATAAGATGGTGACAATGTTATATCACAAGGTTAGCAAACTGTGTTGACATTTGGATTAAACATTCAGTGTGGTCACCTACAGCCTCACATACCTGACAATAGACTCTGTCTCGACATTATACAACACATGTGAAATAAATGCATGAAATATGCATCCATTGTAACAATTAATGTGATCAGGTAAAAGTCCATAAAAGCCATAGGATGTGAGTCTTTGGTATTTCAAATTTTGTATTTTCTAAGTCATGTAAGTCCTGTGTAGGAGTGTTGTAAAAGAAGCTGTCTATTAGTTTTGATAATGTTTCACTGTTAATCCAAAACGGATGAAGTTCAGTCGTATTGTTACATCATTTGTTTGTAAAACTTGAATAAATGTGAAAATTAAATTCATGCACGTACAGGTGAGTTGTTTACTAGTCACCTTATTGTAAGTTACTGCTTGAGGATGTTGTCTTTTTCAGGGGTTGGTTGAGAGTCATACATTTCAAATCATGAAAGCAGTCGAACCTGGCTGGCTGCAAAATGCCCTCTTAAGAAACCACCTGATTGGCAGCCGCAGTCTTATGCCCCGCATTATTTACATAAATAGGTCACGAGGCTTGTGAGCTTTGCATAAAACAGAAAGGGACAAGCAGTGGGAATGTTTCCTGTTTGCTGCAGAACAGGTTTGTGCTGTGGCTGAGGGATAAGTCGTTTTTATGAAAAGGTAGGTGTGGGCAGTTCATGAAGTTTACTTTATTCTATGTTTGATGAATTTACAGGGGAAAATAACCTGGGTAACGTGTTTATGTTTGACTATGTTTTTTAGAAGATATACTCGACATACTTTAAGGGATTTTGACCTTTGTACTTGTTTGCAGGTATCGAGTTGGTATGTTACAACCTAAGATAGAGGAGCATGTACAAACTACTCTTCAGAGCAGTTTATGTCTTGTTGTTATGTTAATTCTTATACTCAATCTGTTGTTTACTTCGATGTCCTCAGTGGTGATAGACTGTTGGGAGTGGCTTTTGTCACAACTATGGTTTTCTTTGTGCCGTGTACGTGTCTCTTTAAGGACTTATGCAGTATCGAATTCCTTTGACGCTGTTTTCATTTTCACTCTACCCGGGACAACAGACACTTTTACTCTGTAAAAAATGGACTCGTTCAAAGGTAGGAAACAACCGCTGCTCTGACTCATACATCTGTCCACATTATCCCCACATCTTGTGACACAAACCTTGTTTTCTTGTTCGCTCCTGCTGTCAGGACCTTGCCCTCATCGTAGTGTCCCTGTTGAGACTGATGAGAGCATGACATCCTCCACTCTGGACTTGGTCTGGCCTCCTCCTTGTAACCAGTGTAGTGGACTCATAGAGACCAGCAGAAGGCCACAGGAACATGGCTATGAACCACCTGGAGAACACGCTGCCAGACAGACGACAGTCCCAGAGAGCCAGCAAGAATCCAGAGCCACCTGCCGTGATTCCCCGGAACCTTGCTTTACACCCCAAACACGCTCAGGAGACAAGAGACCCCCCCACCGTGCAGGTGTTTCGCCTCATGGCCTCAGAGAGCAGCAGCAGCACAGAGTTAACCACAGCAGAGGCTTTACAGGCCCTTCAAACAGGCCACAGGACCTCTCTGTGGAGTTGGCAGAAAGTTTGGAGGTCCCTCTTCCACTCCTGTCTGACATTAACTACACCTCCTATGTCCCAGCACAATACCCTGCTCAGCGTAAGTGTTTGATTATCAAGAGAAGAAATCCTTAACAACCTGGTACTAGGAGGATATATATATATATTATACCAGATATTTAAAAAAATATTGATAAGCATGGGTAATATTGGCTTCAGGCTACACCAACACAATTCTAAAGTATTAGATCTGGTGACAACTCCTCATGACAACCCTGTTAGATATTGTTTAGCTGCTGCTCATTGTGTTGTGTTGAAACCTGTCCAAACTAGTAAATCATGTCTGTACTCCCATATTTCTTTGCAGACCCCAAGCCAGAGCAGGGGACTTCTCCCAGACAGTGTGCATGTTGTCCTCCAAGAGATCTGCACCGGCACAATTATCGTTCTTGTCATTATAAGCATGGTAACCCAGCAGATCCATACCACGAGCCTCAAGACCACCAACAGTCCTGGTAGGAGAGCAAGTCCTGTCCTGTTTCTCATGATGATCCAATATTATCAGGGTTGATTCATACAATACTTTCCACATGAATCACTCTGAAAAGGTTTTTTTGTGTGAATTCTTTTCACAGGAAGGTCTCCCATAAAAGGCAACAACCTAAAGAGGCTGCAAATGCCTCATTGCCTGAGTGCATGGCGCGTCCTAGAGAAGTGATGCATGAGGTCAGCGTGGATTGCTCCTTGCAGGCAGGTCCAGGCCCTTCCACAGGGGAGATCAGGAAGACAATCAGCCTGCCTGAGGAGTGCAGTAAGTCAAAACCAGGTCCTTGCATTAACATGTGGTTGGGATATTTCTCCCACTAAACCGTAAGCATGTAACAGTCATGGCTTAGAGTGTTTCACTGATGTTTCATTGACAGGGAGTGTTTTCATCACGTATTCAGTGGACACAGCCAACGAAATTATTCTTTTTACCAAGTTTCTGACTAATCAGGGCTTCAGACCTGCAGTAAGTACAGTCATTTCACCCATCACCTCTGTTTCTTGGTGATTTCCCATACAAATACTCACACGCTGCCGCTAAATCTCCAATTAGATTGACATCTTTGATAATCCAATGAGGAGAATGGGCATCACTAAATGGATGGACAAGCATTTGAATGATGTAAGTCTGACTGTTAAGCTTGAGCAGAGAATAAAACAATTCATAATGTAGTCTTTTCTTTAAATCTGACATTGAGATAATTCGGTTTTACAGAAATCAGTGCTCATCATTGTGGTCATCAGCCCCAGGTACAAAGAGGACGTGGAGGGATATGGAGGTGATGACCACGGGCTGCACACTAAATACATTCACAATCAGGTAAGCACTTCCTCCTCAGCTGTCAAATGCTAAAGATATTTGCTTGCAACATCCCCTCATGTGGTGAGATCATGTCATTACACTCCCTCCTCCCACGTGTCAGAGGGGAATGAGGAAATGGCTCCTGGGACTTGAAAACAAAACATTTCATTCCCCAGCTCCACCCAGTGTCCCCTCCCTTACAGTCCCACGATGTTAATGTGTCACAGGTGTTGAAGCTGTCTGTGAGGCTTTCACAGCTCCATGTTGCTTAGTACAGCTCTGTAAATCCTGTTGTGTATCGTCAAATGATGCATCTTATTGGTATCAGAAGAGAGAAAAAGAGAAAACGTCACTCTCATGACTGTCAATCAATTCGGATGGCCCATATTCACAATCACGATTTAAGCCACAGGACTTCATAAGGTGCGACGTCCTCTGCCCTTAACCCTCAGCAAGAGGGAGGGAAAAAGAGTTGCATGTGAAGAATTCCTTTTCACAGATAGACAGAAGTGCAACAGATGTTTTTGTGAAACAGAGCACGTCAACAAAATAACAACATTTACAAAATTCTTCTGAAAAGACTGTGTCTAACATAAATGGAGAGGCAAGGAAAGTATTTATTCAAAAGAAAGACTGACAGAGATGAAAGGGGCCACAATGACCATTGTAAATGTATATGTAGACGAAAAAGAGGGTGTCTGCCTCCCAGACTGAAACTGGGAGATGATTCCGCAGGAGAGGAGCTTGATAGCTGAAGGCTCTGGCTCCTACTTTTAGAAACTTTAAGGATGACAAGTGAGCCTGATTCTGGGAGAGCAGTGCTCTAGTGGGCTGGTGTGGTACTATGAGCTCTTTAAGATAGAATGGTATGCATTATTACAATTTCCAGACTGTAAAGGCCACAGTGGCTCTAATTCAGCTCATCATAAGAACGGACATTGATTTTGTTGCCTGTTTTATTAATTGAACCACTTTAACGGTGGTAAAGCTCTATAAACACTGAATATCCTCTTTTGTTACTGGCACAGATCCAAAATGAGTTCATCCAACAAGGCTGCCTGAACTTCAGACTGGTACCTGTCCTGTTTCCTAATGCAAAAAAGGTACGTATGAGCAATATGGTAAAAAGTAAATGGTATAACATTATATAACATTTTTCTAGTGTTGATGACCACTCAATGTGAATCTATGTGCAACACTTTCTTTATCACACATCACTCACACACTTCCAGCACAGTTGTCGGGGGGGTTCTATATTTTGCTAATGGACATTTTGGCACACAGGTTGAACCATTGACCTTCTGTTACATAGACACACAAGGGTCACTTCACACTGATACATATACACACAAGAGTATGGCAGTCCAGTTTATATCAAACTAAATCTGAGCTCAAAATACTTACCACTAAAAAGGTAATAATATTTATAATACTCACTCACTTTGTGTGTCACCATGTGTCCTCTTATTCTGGACATCCCAAATAAAACTTGCATCATGTGGCTATAGCAGCGCAAATAACAGAGAAGATGAATGTATGAATTTACATCACACGTGAATTGGAAGACCTCCAGGTGTGTGATGAGGGGTACATGTAAAACAGATCATGTCAATGAGACTTTACCAACGGAGCCTCTGTGCTTATTCTGTGTCACAGAGCCATGTCCCCAACTGGCTCCAGAGCACCAGGATCTACCGCTGGCCCGAGGACATGCAGGACCTGCTGCTTCGCCTGGTCAGGGAGGAGCGCTACATCATCCCACAGTGCGGGTCTGAGCTCACCCTCACTGTCAAGCCCCTCTGAGAAAAACTGAGAAGTGACAGGCACTTTGTCAGTGTGACTCTCACGTGCCTCGATGAAGTAGCAGATCAGCTGTACTGTTTACCTTTTGTCACTTGTTTTCATGATGACCTTTCATTCTACTTCCTCAGTGATGACATCTGAAATGAGAACTAACTCATATCAGAAAACCATGTTTTAATTGTACTGAGAACCTAATTTTTTCTTTGTTATTTTCCACCAGAACCTTCATCTTTATAAAATTAGCAGGGAGCCAGGGAGTAATAGTTTGCATTAATTCATATATATATTGAAAGCTGCTCTGATGTGTCTGGTTGGGCAGCTGGTTGTTGTAGTGGCTGATCAGGCTTTCATATGTTCAATGTTAAAGGATAAGAACAACAATAAAACAGACAAAAAGCAAAATCTGCATAATTTAGAGATGTTTTTCTGGCAAACTGACAAAAGTTCAATAGTCACTGGTTAGATAAAAAAAAATGAATCTGCCTGTTTAGCTGCTAAATGCCTTTCATTCTGTCTGCTGTCAACAGCTAGAAACAGGTCTGATGGGATCAGGATTTGTGGAGCAGAAACAGACACAAAGTAAATGTTAAATATTCTGTGGGTTCATCACTGCACAAGCTTCTTTTCACATTATATTAAGTCATTAAATGCAGTGAGTTTGTAAAAAAATATATGGCATCTTTATTCAAGCTATCAAACTGTTAACCTAAATGTTTTCTATTTTAAGTTTTTTTTTACAGTGCATTGTTGCCAAATATTTTTTTTATTAAAAAGCTTAAAATAGTTTCAGTGCTGTATACTTCACAGTGCATCAGTGTATTGGTGAAGCATGTGTTTAACCAAAAGGTGGCAGCATTCTCCACAAAATAAAAACACTCTTTAGTTTCTTTTACTGATATTTTATGACGGTGTTACTTTAGACCAGAGGATGTGAAGCTGGGACACAGGACATGAGAGAACAGAAACATCTGGTGGTTATGATTCACACCATCTCCAGTGGCCATGTTTTGCTCTGTACTTCATCTTTTCTGTTACCCCGTGTGCACAGAGCTGTTCAGTCGGTTTACCAAACCTGACAAAAATGATTTGCTCCCGTCGGTGTGTGTGTGTGTGTGTGTGAAAGGGATTCCAGTGATGTCCAAGCTTTTATCAACTCCTGCATGAGGGGGATTTCTGTAAACACTTGCCCTGCCAGGTCCAATAAATCAGATGTTTGTTATTGTCCTAGGACTGGTGTGCCACTCGACTCGGCCTTATCTGGTGAGTCCAGAGCAACCAGACAGATATTTTCTCAACAAGGCCTGGACCCCCCATTTTATCCATCTGCTGCTTGAACACACACTCCCTGCTCTGACTCATTTTATGATTTACTATACATCTACAGTATATTCACAACAACATGCATCAGTCAATTGAAGTGGCCTTTAGGGACAAAAACAACCTTGGTTTATGTCTGAAGAGAGGAGCTTATGTCCTATCACATCCTGACTTTAGAGTTTTTCTAGATCTCTCTTGACATTTCCATCCCAACTTTCTCCCAAACCCTAACATGAGTCTTTTCAGGTTCCAAAAGGACATTAAATATCCACTGAAATCCCCTGAATGAAGAGTTTTATTGAAACATGTTTTGTTTCTGGATTTTCCTCACTTTTACTATTCCGCCGTTTTGTCGCTGGCTGTACAAAGTGATGGATCAAAAATGAAACATTTACCTACCGAAACATGCTTATGGGAAAAAAATAAGTGAATGAGTTGCTGTGGCACAGAATAAACATGAAAGTCGATGTTTGAGCTCAGAGACCAAAAAAGGTATTATTAGTTTTCCAATTAAGTAGAAGCTTTTAACTGCATCTCACGGTCTTCATAAAAAAAAGCCATTCTCATGAGAGCAATGCAAACAACAGCATGTAAAGAATTATTTATTTATTCAAAGAAATCATCTTCTTCCTTTTCCTGGTATTTACTCAAAGTAAAAGTCACCCACTGACATTCGTTATGCTGGTAGTGAGAGATGAGGAGTGGGTGACAGAGGTAATTGGCTTCTTTCTAACTCCACTACCCAAGAATCTTTTAATTTTTAAACTTGTCAGGTGACATCAAGTGATGCAAATTATTAGAGTTCATGTAGTTACTTGTTAATCACATGTCACGTATGTGTTCCATGGAAAATAAGTCTTGTAGGCACAATTCTCAATTTCAATTATGAATTCTGTGTGCACTGTCAAAATAGTTTCCCTTTAGCAGGTGGGATCGGGGCCATGCTGTTTTGTGATTGGCAGTGAGTACAAGGTGCAACTATCACCATCTCAGTTTGAGGCTCTGCTCAGAGTGTGGCCACCCATGCTTAAAATCTATAACACTCACTGTACTGTAATGCTCCCACCAACTGCCTTACAAATGTACACATCTAAAATATTTCAGCATTCTGCCCATAGGTCTTGTACGTGTTGCTGGCAAATGCAAGAAGATGCCTGCTGATTGGTTCATTAAGAGGGCCAGGCTCTAACTCAAGGTCAGCACACACTCCAGCAGACAGAGGCACTGTCTCCATTGAGATTAAATGCAAATGAAATATTTTTCATCATCTGGGAAGTCGATGGCAGCAATGTCCCCAGTATGAACCAGACTGAGCCAGCTGTTTGAAGAGCGTTATGGCTCCTTCAGTGCAGAGGAGAGAGCAGCGAGCTCAGCACATCTACTACTGATGCCTGCCATGAAAAGGCTATTACAGGAAAGTGACTGGAATACTGAGCAGCCCTGATGACTTGTAGGTGGGTCGGTATCATAAGATACACCAGCCTACATGTACACATGAAAGTCTAAAAGATTAAAAGGCAAGATAAACCTTTAATTTGAAAGTCACTGTATGTTTCTTTATGGTGGAATGACAACAGCACAATAAAAAACATAAAATAATTTATGTATTTCAGATTGTGTTTCAGTTTGGAAGATATTTTTGATTAATCTTAGGTAATGAAGCAAATTAATGGAATCCAAAAGTCAAAATGAATATTTCACTATTTTGTCAACACTGAACTCATGAGTCCATATTCCTATCGAGGCACTTCACCCTAAGAAATACAAATCGGTCTTTGTTCTTGATCACGTTTTCTATGTCTGTATTTTTTCAATGTTATATCCCCATATTTTGTTCTAACTCCCATTTAGACGGGCGCAAAAACAGTATAGTTTTAGAATATCGATTTTAAGTATATTAACTCTCAAAATACATTGATAAAACAGAATAAAGACACCATTTGTAGTTAATGTGTCAGATAATGTAAACTTCTCCACAGGTCATTAAAACCCAGACATTCACAACATGTCCTTGGTGATTTCAAATGGCCTAAAGAGGCAACATGCTGCAGACGATCATGTTCAGCTGTCTGTGATATTAATCCTTGTGTTAGCTTGTGGTAACTTTCTGTTTATATTACTGCACATTGTGGTGATTTAGTTCATCTATATATCAGCGTTATATTCCCTTGTATTTTCAGTTTGTGTGTGGTACTAAAGCAATTAAATTGCTCTAAATGAAATCTTTGATGAGGTCTAAAATATTATTAAACATAGTTTATCAATGTCTTTATGTATGTTTCCTTATGTGAGATGCTTTTAGTTTTATACATACGAGCACCTCTTCCCTCACTCACATGAAATATAACATCCAATAAAAAACGTGTCCCTAACAAACCTCCAGAGAGGAAAATTATGTTTCCTAGCTCTTTGATCTGGGTCTCATTCTGGCTTTGATGCTGCAGTGGCAAATAAGGTGAAAAGTTGTCAAACTCTGCTCAGTGTTCCACAGTCCTGCTTCCTGTTTCTATGTTCAAACGTATTCAGTTATAAAATAAGAGTCTTACTTACAGGTATCTGTAAGCAGGGATGGGCAAAGATTCATCGAAATGTATTTTAAAATAAAATACAAACTACCTTAATCTGAATCTTTCATAATTCCTTTCTGATGATGATTTTTTTGATCTGTTCTGTGATTTAATCTATTTGGTGTGTTTGAACATGAACACCCTTCTTGTATTTATATTACGTGTTTTATGTCATTGTCCATCTAGACCAGGACTGCCTGGCAGAAGGGGTATTATAATGACATTGTGTATGTGACCTGCAATTTGTACTTTTCTTTAACAAATAACATCCTTATATTCATACATTTTCATAGCATGTTCACTTTTTAGTGAAACTCAATATTTTTCCTCTCTAAAATAGTTTTCTCCATTTTTTTCTTCTGTGTCCACCAGATTGCTTCTTGTTTAGGAGGTGAGACAGTTTAAAATCCTTGTCTTTCATTGATTTAGGCAAATATATATATAGAAAACAACAATGAAACTATCAGTGGCAGGATGTTTTCTGGTTTTACCGGTATCTTCATACGGATATTGAGATGCAATGTTTGTGGCAAACGATGGTGCTTTACAATGTAACAACCCAATCATTGTGTTTATTTGATCCCATGGTTTTAGAATGTATGAGTAAAGAAACAACACATAAATGATGATTATGCTGTAACGAACCGCTTGTTATGTGATCACTTACGTCCACAAAACCACCAACTGTGTCTCTAAATGTATTGGCCATGAGCAACTGTTCCAGATGTGAGCTTTCAAAATGAATCACTCACTTTTACACTGGTTCCTTCAATCAGTGAGCTCGTGATTCCTCAACACTGCTTTTATTCTGAAAGCAGCAGCCGGATGTAGTAGCCGTGTGTGTTGTGTCGAGCTTGCTGTGTGATACGGGTTTAGCTAACGTGGGTTAGCCTGTTATGGAAGCGGAGGGAGAAACAACGGAGGGGCTGTTTGATCACACCGGACTGGCTGCGACTAGTTCTGGGACGTGATTCGGAAAGATAACGCCACATACCGGAAGCCTAGGGGAACGTCTTCCTGGCTGGAAACAAAAACAGCCCGGAAAGAGCTGAAATCACGGGACAGCCACAGTTACAAGTGCAACATGGACCCGGCAGCCGCGGAGCGTCGGACATTCGCCGGCCGCCGTCGAGTGTAGTTCCCCGCAGCTGCAGTTTGACTTCAGCGGCTGGAGCCACTGGAATCTTTGTTCGCGTTTTTTTTTTTTTTTTTTTCCATGGGACTCGGTCGGGCTTCCCCGCCGTTTTGTCGTTGTTTCCCCGTCGCTGACAGCTCTCCCCTCGGTGTGCATCGACCGTCCGACGAGCCCCCCGCATCTTATGGACTCCTAGCAGGAGTTTGTTGGCTTTTCTGTCGCTCGGTTCCTCTCTGACGGACGCGGCCGTCATGTTTGCCGTGCGCATCGTCACCGCAGACTACTATGTGGCGAGACCCGTGAAGGACCTGGACGTGTGCTACTCTGACTTCAGGGAGAGCGACGTGAAGAAAGTGCCGGTGGTGCGGATATTCGGAGCGACAACCGCAGGTCAGTGATCCGCCCGCTTCACCGGTGTCTTGTGTTCTCAACGTTAAAGGTGATGCTTGTTGTGCTTTCTGCGCCGCACCATGCGGCCGTGGCTGCAGTTTGAGCGCGCGCGCGCCCACACACACACACACACACACACGGACATACATGTACATACATTCACATACACGCACGCGCCGTGTTGTTTGGAGGAAACCTGACGGACAGACTGTGCACGACGGCAACAGGAAGACGATCAGGGTGTTGACACCTCTTTAATATACAGTGTGTGGCTGACACACGGTGCCAGCGGCGCACCGCTGTTGCTCTGCAGCGGTGGGAGACCTCCCCTGCTCCCCCTCCCCTCCTCGCACGGCTCGGCTTTGTTTTCGCTGTCCTGCTCCATCATGGCACGGTGGCTGCGCAGGGCTCTGGCTCGCAGGGCTCGTCTTTACACCGCCGCCTGCTGCCACATGTGGCATTCGAGGACAGCGTGGACACTTTGCCTTGAATGGTGGTTTATATTTGCTGAAAGCAACCTGTGGAGTGTTGACACGGGGTTGATAACAAAATGCGGCCACCTCCTCGGGCTTTCTCCACTTTTACGGAAACGAATAGAGCAAAAAAAAAAACAATGAAATGACACTGAGGTCATCACCACAGTTACACTCGATTCTTGAAACAAACTGCAAGAGACATGCATTGAACATCTGCAAGCAGAGAATGAGGCTAATGTGAGGGTTATGTAAAAGTATGTGCTCCATAGAGCACAGCATAATAGAAAAAGGCAGGGGCCATCGTGCACAATCGTCATTATGGAAATAAGAATGAGAGTCGTTAATGATGAACAGCGTCTTACATTGTGTGAAAATGAACAGCACAATGCAGACTGCCATTTTTGACAAGATCCTCCTATTGAAAATGTCATTTATTGGATATGGCTGCAGTAAAAATGACAAAAAGAGAGGTTCGATTTTCTATAGATCAGTGTTTTTTTCCCTCGGCTTTGGCACATCCCCTGCTTTCTAATAAAGCCATTACAACTGAGCACTCTGGGTACCTTAATCCTCTTGCCGCAAAACAATAGAATGATTTCCTGCACAATGGCTCAGCATTAGCATTCCAGCCAAATCCCCTTGCGATTGCCCTGCCCCTCTTTAACCCTATGTGACAGGTGAAAGCACCATCAGGGGAATGTATCAGGGTGAGTCCACAATGGAAAAAATGCTAGTCAAACTTGTCCCACATACTGTGTCAGTGGTCCTCCGCAGGGCGACCCGGAGCACCGAGCAAAGAAGGATCCACCTCACTGAGGATTAAAGGCTTTAGAGCAGACAAATGCAGGACAGTGGGCCTTGGTTAGGGTCAGGGTGTCACGTCTAATTTGGTCCTGTCGTAAACCTGCAAGTTGTCATGCAGCTGTGTTGATGTGAGTGGGCTACACACACACACACAGACACACACACAGACACACACACAATGCAGCAGAGGCAATCTGGGTAGCCCGTCAGGTGAATGCATGCTGAGCAGCAATCCATCAGTACTGATTCAAGCACAATATAACCTAATTAACATAGCACTGCAGTTAGGCTCTCAGGCATGAAGGCACCTAGTACACTGATCTAAAATTAATTTCATAATGCATGACAGGGACTGCCTTACATCAGTAGCATCATAATATAAAAGTATTATCTAAATAATAACCTATGAATCACGGCTTCAATTTAATTTCATATCACTTTCCTGAGCTTGTTGAACAGAGCCAGCAAGAGTGTTTGGCAATTGATTATTAAGTTGTTACATTCATGGACAACAATGAATTCAAGCAAAACCTCCTCACATTTGTTTGGTTCCAGTGTGTAGAACTTAGGGAGATCTAGTGGTGAAGTAGCATGTTGCAACTGAATAACCCTCACCTCACCCTCCCCTTTCAAACGTGAAAGAAAACCTGTGGTAGCCTTCAGTTGTCATAAAAACTCAAAATATGTTTAGTTTGTCCAGTGTGGACTACTGTAAAAACATGGTGGCCTCCACAGAGAGGACCCGCTCCTGGTGTAAATATAAAGTATGTACATATAAAGGGCCCAGTCTAGGGTTAAAAAAACAACAATTTGTACAATTTGTTTAAACACAATAGTGAAAGTATCATTATTCTATATTCAATTTCTGCTAATACATCCCTTTTACCAAAACATTACATACTGGACCTTTAAATTTGAATCTGTAGCTGATCTCACACATGAATTCTGGAGAACCTCCAAACATTCTCCGTTGTGATGTATATGAGAGCCTCCTGAGTTTCTCCATCTGGCTCCCTGGTAAAACCCTGCAGAAAGTCGAGAGGTGTTGATGTGAGAGCAGAGCAGGAGATCTTCTGCAGGATTCACCGCGAGTGAGTGCGTTAGGAAATTTCTAACATGCGACAGAATCAAAAATGAGGAAATAAAACGAGGAGAGAAGCTCTGGACCCAATTCTGTGGACATCCTGCGGAGTTCATGTCTGAAAACAGCTTTAGTTAAACTAATAATACATTGATTGTCTGATGTATTAAATAAACGTTCAAGCATGACACTGGGCTGCAGGTGATTTGAGTTTTCATTTACTGATATTCTACACAATAGACTAAAACCCAAACATGTGCAAATTACAGTGATGCATCATGTTTGCTATTTATGCCTGACATCCAGGAGTTTGAGTTTATTTCGAAACAATTTCATAAAAGTGTGTGGTTGATGACACTTGTGTGAACACGTCTGTGTGTCATAGTTTCGTTTGGCACCTAGGATACTAGGATAAGGTGAGCCAATTAGCACACCAGGCCCCACCTACATGGAATGCATCCATTGTTAATGATATTAATTAGTCCTTCTACTTCCTGCTGCTTTCCTACCATGAAGTGAAGATGGCTGCTGTGAACAGGGTTTACATGCACAAAGGTGATTCCAGAGAAAGCTCTGTTGCAGGTGTGATAACTCCCATAACAATGCTCTCAGTTGGAATATTGTCCAGATGCTAACAACTCTCGTCACGTCTGATTGGTTATTGTTGTTGGTATGTGGCATTGAAACATTTCAATGTCCCATTGAAGCATTCAAAGCTTTCACTGATAAAACCTTTACACAGTCACAGTAGCTGGCATTGTTCCTGTTGTGGTTTGAATCAGAGTCGGTGTTTTTTTGAGTCACAGTAGTAGAGTAGCCTGTCTGCAGTTGGTGAGCCGTAGTGGGAGCCCCACAGATTTGCACAGTTTCACTATTCTCTTGCTATGTTTATGTGTCACTTGTGGCGAGTTAGCTCAGCGCTTTCAGAAATAAAATTACATCACCATCTGGAATACATTGAAGCCCAAAGGAATCTCTTTCTGGCCTTCTCGGTTTCTCTGTAGCTCAGATTCAGGCCACACCCAGCGAGAAAGAGTTTTTAATATTTCCTTTTGCCTTTATGGTGTTTTTATTGTTTGACTTGAAGGGGGGATTTCATGAGCAGTTTTGCTCAATGTGTGCTGACTTTTATCTCATCAGTGTGTTTACCCTGGTCTAAGCGGTCAGTGCATGAGCACCATGTGGCTCTGGCTACAACCCCAGGCCTCATATTCCCTGTCCTTTCCTGACCTAAGCCGTGCACACTCCCACCAATCAGCCCAGTGTAATTCGATGCCACGCTTTCTGCTTTTTTTCCCCCTCCCTTTTCTTTGTTAGAATTCAATGGCTGGTCTGCCTGTGCTGCATCCTATGAATGCATGGCCATCTCTGAAGTAGCTCAAGGAGAGGCTAAAAAACAGATACCTCTTTGTTGTGAAAATTGCACCCCTGATCAGTATTGCATTATGCTTATTAATTATCGGTGATAAAAAAAAAAAATCTTTCAAGGCGGCAAACAGCCAGCCTGTTCTCACATGGCTGAGGATTGCTGTTGAGGCGGCTGCAACCTTTTGAGGTTTGACAGCATTGATCTCCACCCGACAAGCTTGGCCCAGATGCTCTGACAGGCCCCGGGGGCCTCTGTGTCAACAGGAGGCACACTGTTGTGGTTCCTTTCTTGGACGTGTGCACTTGAGTGTGTGTTGTGTGTGTGTGTGAGCAGAGAGGGAGGAAGTGCATGACCAATTGACCTGAATGAGGGGGCCAAGAAGTGAGGTGCAGTAAGAGGTAAAACTGACCCCCCTCCCCACCCCTGCCTGGGTTTAGCTCTCCCCAGGGGAACCTTTAATGCCATCTAAAGGAATTCCTCCTGGATCCATTAATAGGATAATGGTTTTACTCGAACAGACTCTTTGGCTCATTAGGATTAAGATTATTGTCCCCTTAACTGTTTACTTTCCTCTCAGTCTGTCAGTTACTCGGCTTCAATTATCATCCCCTAACCCCTGCTCTAGTTGCTTCTAATTATATCACAACACGGAGGGATGTATGTTTGTTGATATGCTGTCTTGTGATTTGATTTTTATTCCTTTTACCAAACAGATCTTCAGTGTCTGGTTAAGTCTTAAGTATCATAATGAGAATAGTGCTGCGACAAACCAATCATGTGGCTTGAATAGAGTTACAGCAACGTCAGACACACACACAGCACAGAAGGTAGGAGGAGCAGCAGCACACATGCTAATGTTTGGGCTGTTGCAGAGAGGTGGATGACTCTGCCTTGATGCAGTGACAGAACATAATTGATTCATGTTTTCCGCTACGTCCATTGTTTTGGTGGTTTTCCACAGCTGAATAATTATAACCAGCGCTGCTCAAGGATCAGGACAGATGCTCATTAAAGGTCCGGCCGTCCTGTGTCAGAGTCTCTGTCGGAGTCTGACTCCTCCTCACTCCCTCTGACCTGCGCTCACTTTACACTTAAACATTAAACACCATCACTGATCACAAACAAGGACTGATGTTTAGTTTGTGTTTGTTTGGTTCACTCTAGGGTTTATGGGACATATGTTTAAACCTGCTTCACAACACGAGACGTAACGTGACATGACGCACACAGTCAGGACATCGAGGTTAAAGTGACCGGAATGATCCTGAGT